GTATTATATGATCAAAACACTTGCTTATAGAATCACCTTTATTATTTTTACTTGTATATTTATTATGAGTTATTTTAGTATTGTACGCGCCTTACCCGCCTCTCACATTTGCAGTCTCACTAGATGTGCTGGAAGAAATTTCTCTTTAGAATTAATTTCTTTGTACGTGAACAATAAACTTAAAACAAATAAATAAGAATGACGTCCGTTTCGAAACCCTCCCCCCTCCTATCTATCATTTACCGTTATCCGCAGACTACCCCCCCCGTAATTTAGAATGACATAATATATGGACGGCCCCTAATATATTTATTTCATAAAATTATACACATTCAAATTTAAACTAAAACAAGAGATATTTTAAAATTGTTGACATAGGTGGCGCTAATTGATGATCTAGGGGAAGGGGGCAGGCCGGTGATTAAGGGGAGAGTAGAGTATAAATTCAATTTTTGAATTAGAAACTAACAGTTTTTGAGTTTTCTATGAAGATCTCTAAGGATATTTATTTATAATTATGAAGTCCTGTAGAGGTGGGCTGTCTCCCCTAGTGACGCCAATAATAACATACTCAAGTTAAATGTTATTTAAACATCTAAAATAACTGAAAACAAATTATTCTATACAACATTTTCAGTTAAAGACCTTTTGCCAGTCTTGTTTCATCATCATCAACCTTCCCCAATAACTTCTACAATTTTGACTGCGTTTGACAATACTAACCTTTCCCACCAAATTGTAAATTGTCTGATAACAATCCAAAGTGTAAATGTGATGGAAATATCGGACTTTCTTACCTTATCTGTGACGTCATTTTTAAGCTATCTGAGCCTCTATCAGCCAGTGGTGGGACAGGTCCTATGAGATTTTCACGTTTCAACAATGAAGTGTTAATTTCCAGGTCGTATAATAGAGCAAGGTCCATCAGTGTTAATAATAGAGGACAGCAGTGGGCATATATTCGGTGGGTTCGCGGCCAGCGCGTGGGCGTTCGGCCCCAACTTCACCGGCACCGACGACTCTTTTCTCTTTACTGCCGCCCCCAAAATGCGCGTCTACCCCGCCACTAATTACAACGATCATTACCAATACATCAATCATCATACGAAAACGTTACCGAATGGTTTGGTGAGTATCTAAAAAAAGTCTCTTACAGCCTTACAATAAACGCGGTATAAAGTTAAACTTAGCAATAAACTAAGTATAAGAAAATATTAAATTGTGCTTATTCTAAGTTTATTCTTAAGTTTAAATTTATACCGCGTTTATTTGTAAGGCTGTTAAATATTTTTTTTATTATCTAGGTTTTTTGATTTCTGTGAAGATTGAATGATATTAAACAGCGGTGGAAATTTTTTAAAATGACCAAATGACGAGAATGATAGGAGTAAATAGGTTGTCAGGGGGAGGTAGAGAAGGTAGCAGACGAAGTATCTAGATCATTTTGATGTTACCCGCCCTTCTTAGACCTGGCCTAGATCTTTAGCTCTCAACGCCTATGTTTGGAGTGGTGTGTTGGGTTGTTGATATGGTACTCTACACGTTAAAGAAAAAGGTATAAACTCGCCTTCAACAACCCTGCATCATCTTGCGTGAAGTTCTGGAGGGACCCCAATAAAAGAACTGTTTATACCTTTTATTTATACAAGTAAAAAAAAGCCGCCTTTGTGGTGTTCCGGACTGTCCTCTACATTTATACCAAATTGCATCGAAATCAATTCAACAGTTTGGTCTATAAACTCTAAGAAACATCCATCCCTTTATTTTTCGCATTTATAATTGTAATATGATATATTTGTATTTTATTTTCAGTTAATGGGTGGTCAATTCCACTTTGGGGGTATCTGGGTGAACGCGGACCCCTTCGGCGAGGGCTCCTCTGCGGAGTCCTGCAGCACGTACCGGGGGTACCGCCGCCTCAGCAAGGACCCCACCTTCCATATACGCAGCCTGGAGGTCTGGGGGGTCGGAGATAAACCGCTCACGGAAAAGGAACAGGTAAATAATTGGTGCATTTATCTTATTGGATACTTTCGAAAGTGACGAAAGATGGCGTTGTACTATAATTTTTTACCTTTGAGAAAAAGATATAGAAATACCACGATTTTACAGCATTTAGCATTCCTTACACCCGAATATCCTATTACCTATTACAGTACCTAGAATTCGTCCTATATCCTACATAGATTTAATTAGGTTAGGTTTAAAAATCTTCAAAAACGACAATTTAGAAAGTCACTTATCTATACTATTATAATAAAGCGTAAACACACACTTTTGTTGCCTGAGATGTCAGCAATTACAGCATATTTTTGAATAATTCTTTTTTTAATAAAAAGCCCTGCACTTGTATCACGCTTTAGGCTATATATTTTAACGCCATTAAACTTGGGAATAAATATTCGGATAAAAACCCAAATGTGGGTGTGTGTGTTGCCATGTTTTGTCATCATGTCATGTCAGTTTGACATTTGCAATTGATAATTTGACACATGTAAATAATAAAATTAGCTTTTCATAATTTTATGCGGATGAAGTCGCACGGGAACAGTAGTATAATATCGCACATACGTAGTTAGTCTCTGGTATTAATTATTTCATAGATATTTCTCTAAAATATGTTGCGATAAAATAGATTTAAATATTAAATGAGCTTTTTAGCTCATATTTTTAACAGGAGACGGTAACTTATAAACTTGTATTAGATGTTAAATTGAATCTGTGGCAACATTTTCTGTTTTAGTCTCTGTTCTTTCAATGGCTGTCAGAGTGCTACTTGTTTTATTGTATTTGTTATAAAAAGCTGAAATAAAGTATTTCAACAGAATAACTAATAACTTACTCGCTTTATTGCAATATTTTAGTGTTCTTAATATAAATAAGTTTCTCACACATTCCTTCCGTAACTCATATATCCTTTTGACTCCTCTCCTCTACCTCCTCGTAGGCCCTCCTCAGTGAGCGCTCCGCGCGCTGGTCGGAGTACGAGTTTGTGCAACTCATCGCCAAGCCTGAACTAAGTCAGGGATTTGTTAAATGAAAATGGTAGGTATTTTATAAATAAGTCGGTATATGTATGCAGTCAGACATTTAAACATTATATAGAGTAGACGGGGACCAAAAATAGACAATAAATAAGATATAGTTGGGACGTGAAAAGAATTTCACCGGTAATATCTGTGAAAGGTACTATGTCGGTTACAAATTATAAAAAGGGTATTTTTAAATTTTGTAACTGTTTAATTCGTAGGTATTTTGTTGATAAGTCGATATAACATGTATGAAGTTAGACATTTAAATAATATATAGACGAGGCAGTGAACAAAATTTTCACCGGTACTTTCTCTGAACGGTACTATATCAGTAGTCAAGTTAAGACGCCTCACGTCCTCGTAATAAAATATTTTACTAAATTATATTAAACTCTTATAATAATTTTAAGTTATAAAAATTATAATAAATCTTTTGTTTAACCCTTTTCTTGTTAGTGTATCTGTAGAGATACATCAATTTTTTTTTCTAAACACCTTGGGTCATCAAGGTTAAGTGCTATGAAAATTATTTTGATATTCGAAAAAATAAAATTCTGCCAAGTTAAGGGTTAAACAGTGTTACTTGATAATCAATATTTAAATATTATTTTAAAAAAAATCTATTAACAATTAATTTAAATACAAATATCTATATGAGGTTTTGAGGATCTATCAATAGATGGCGTTAGATGACTATGTGAAAACAATTATGCCTCCTCTATGTATTTGAATCTCTATGGAATGTAAGCTTTATGCCAGTTATTGGTATAATCCCTCCACACAAATATATACTAGACGTGTTAAATACTCCAGTTAGTGTTCACTTGTAGTTTTATAAGTGTTCCAGTCACTGGCATGCCTGATTGGGTTCAATTTATTTCGAAATGTATAGGAGGAGCGCGATGTGAGCGTGTTGGACACGAACCCGGAGGCGAAGGCGATACTAGACATGGCGGGACGTACTCGACACAGCGAGGGTATACGCGAGCCCCCGCCGTTATAAATATTAACCAGTAAGTATTTTTTTAAATTATCCTCCTCCTAATGGCTCCCTTATCTATCTATACTATTATAATAAAGCGTAAACACACACTTCTTTGTTGTCTAAGATGTCAGCAATTACACCATATTTTTGAATAATTCTTTCTTTAATAAAAAGCCTTACAATTACGACAGGCTTTACAATGTATATTTTCACGTTATTAAACTTAGGGAGTAAATAAATTGGAAAAATCTGTGCGGGAAAGCAATGTTACCATGGTTACACAAACAATTCTCAGCTAACTTCAAGGACCTTCATTCTAACTTTATTTAATTTTTCACATTTACAATATTAAAAGCCTGTCCCACCAAATTAATAACAATCCAACGTGTAAAATTTGTTATGGAAATATCAGATTTTATTCCTTTATCTGACTGTGACGTCATTTTAAGCTATCTGAGCCTCTATCAGCCAGTGGTGGGACAGGCCCTAAGTAATATTGGTCAAAACTGCAGAAAGCCTAGGTATAATAATATTTCAATAGCTGATTTGTCAAAAATCATATAAAACTGTTAACGTATGTTTATGGTAAATCTCTATGTTTTTTTTTTTCAGATATTCCTTGCCAGAGATCTCCAAGTTTTTACCAAGTAAAATCATCTTTTTGGAAACTTTCGTTTTTAGTAATAATTGTAGATATAATTATATTTTAATTATACGCATCTGTTTTTCTGCTTAATAGTATTATTGACCAAAATTTATGTTTACAACACATGGTAATATATGCTATATATTTTATTATTAAATTGATAATTATTCTGTATATGTGTCTATTAAAAAAAAGTGTGCTTGTAATTGCAAAATATAAAATTTTTACTTCAAAATGCTTTAAGTAATATGAAATTCAATGTTTGATTGAAATGGATCCCAATAGTGTACCCTGAGGGATTCCACGCTTTAAACTTTTTTCTTACAAAGCTTATTAAATTTTATTAGTTTAATCTATCGTCATTTCTTCTTATTATTATATGAATAATATTATATTCTTAAGAGATTATTTATAATTGCTTTTAATAAATTATGTCAGCATTGTTATGGTGTCAAATGCTATACTAAATGCTTTTTAATATTTTTCATTAGATAAACGTTGTACTAGTCATTTCTATGAATTGTTGTACATTTTTATAAGAAAAATAATTGAATTCACACATGTTATCCAAAGAGGTTATATTATTTTGATTTTAAAGTAAGATTTTTCGAATTTCCTTGAGGATATTTTGTTCCTTTCATGTATATCACCAGTGTAATAATAATAATTTTAACGCACAATTTATTAAAAAATTAAGCGATATATCGGCTTTTTAAAGAACCTAAGACATTTTGTACATAATACATTTTTAAATTCACCGATGCCAAGAAGCGTTATGACCTTTTAAAATAAATATACCTATGCCAAATAACGCAAAAGTATGTGATTTTTTTTCTAAATCTTTCGATGAGATAAGCATCTGTAAATGTAACTTATAAGCCTGAAGTTTTAACAAAAAAATACTAGTAATTGTCAAATTATAGCGAAATTTTGTCTCTTCTTTGTCTTTTTTTATTTTATTGTCCTTGTTGTAACAATTTCCGTGCTGCAAATCATAGAATAGTAAAAATATCTTCCGAAATTGTGTACAGTAACAATTTGAAACAATTTTTAATTTCATAGATTATTACATTATTATAATAATTTAATAAGATCATAATATATGAGTACAAATATTTTTTTTGCTACCTCTGACCACTCCATTTAGATAATAAACTTATTTGCTTTAGCATTTTTTATCTATGTTCCCGCCATTTTGTCAATGTGTCAAAGTCGTGTCTCTAATCTATGGAAGCTTAGATGTTTGTAAAAGTTTGTATTTCGTAAGTTGTACAAAATGTATTTATTATATTAAATAATAAAAAAAAACAGTGTAATTATTTATCAAGTAAATTTATTTGTATAATTCACAGGTAAATATCTTATGTTAATTTTTACTACTATTTCTACTAGGATATACTAATATTTTGACCTACATCTAATCTGACTTGAAGACAAATCAACAAAAGGTTTAAAATTTTCAAGAAATAACCTAGAAAAAAATTAAAACTATTATTTTTTTTTATATTCCAACTAAAATTTACTTCTGCATGCAATAGAAATATCATATTCGATTTACAAAAATAAAAATTATGTAAAATGTTGCCATATTCCTACTATCTATGGTAACAACCACAGATAAAAAAATTTAGTCGCTACAATCATTCCTTTTCCCAATAGACAGGTCTATAGGTTCATCACAACCGTGATTGAGTCCTCTTTCCCCGACATCTTTAGTAAACTCATCAGGACTGCATTTCGGCTGATTACTGCGGTTATGACAAATCATGCCATACAATGGCACAGGTATGGTGACATCAGACAAATCGTTGATCTCAGATTTGGTGGCATGCGCTTGATTATACTTTGTAGAGTTACGAGAATGCATCCTAAAAATTGTAATTCTTGTCACTTTGATAGTTATGTTTATTGGTGACACGGATCTATTCTAAGGAAGTTTTATTCCAATCTACATGCCGTTTAATATAATCAAAACCAGCATCAATGCACTGATTCTCACAACTTTTTCATTATCTGTGCCTCGTAAAAGGCTGGCAACATTTGCTTCACAATAATGTCCATGGTAATCACAGAGTATAGTTTGTAATATATTAAAATGTTAATCTATGGTCACTTTTATACGATACAAGTTTTATTAATTAAAATGCTTGATTTTAATACAGTAATAAAGTACTGTATTAAAATCAAGCATTTTAATGCGACATAGTACTGCTCCATACATCTCTATCAGCCGTCATATCTGAATTCACTCCTTTAAACATATCCTCTTTCACACAATCCATCCATACTTTCTTCAGTCTCCCTCTACCTTTGTAGCCATCCACATTCATTCTTACCGCTTAGTACTCACTTGTATTTTCGACAAGCGTCGTCGCGATGTCGCTCGAGGTAGCGACGTTGGCTGAAAGCTTTCCCGCATTCTGAACATCGCCATTGCCACGAGTGGTGACCGCGCGTGCGTTGATGTGCGCGTAAGTTTGACCTGTAAAGATCCTATTTAATTTCCACACTCAGAGACGTTTAATAGTCACTTAAAGGAGTCAACTATTAAATGTGGAAATTACACTTTCTTAATTAAAAAAAAAAGTTATGGGAACTGCGTTATATATAAAATAAATCATACTATAATATTATAAATGTGAAATTTTAGATGGATGGATGTTTGTTGGAGTTTGTACCCTAAATGGCTGAACGGATCTCGATAAAATTTGGCATAGACGTAAAGGATAGTCTGGAAGAACATGAAGGCTAGTTACTTTTTTTTTATTTCCACGCGGAGGAAGTCGCGGGCGAAAGAACCTACACAACAAGTTACATAAGTATTAAATACATATATGTAGATAGCTTCTCTTTTGGACATATAAAACACCCGTCTATAAAAGTCCGAAGTAAAAATAAGTTAAAACTAAACAAACCTATCAGAAAAAGTTCTACCGCAACTAGGATGCGGGCAGGGGAATGGTCTCTCCCCTGTATGAAGTCGTAAATGACCTTTCAGTACCCACGGTCTGTCGAAACCCTTCCCGCAGTACGAACATATGTGGCTCGGTCGTACGCGACGCTCCGTCCAGTCGACCAGCTTGGGATGACTTCGGTCTTCTACAGTACCTAGAGAGTTAGTAAACTAGTATACGATTCAAACTGTAGTCTGGCTCCTACTAAACAGCAAACACATGTCTCTTGATACTTTATCTACGATTTGAGAAAAACAGCGCATCAACTTCGTTAAGTCTTGATTATACAGAAAATTGTGTTCTGTAACGTAAGTGATTCCAACCGAGAGATTTTTTTTTATATCAAGATGGCAAAAATATCAAATGGCCACCTGAATCTGCTATCATTGCGAAGCGACCTCTGCCATAGACATTCGCAATAGCGGATCCGTTGCCTACCCTTAATAGACGAAGGAGACATAAAGAGGACATTTCCTCTTCCTATGCTTCTCCTCCACCGTCAAATCCACGATCCCTTTCCATCCTATTCTTGAGAAAAAGCGTGGGACGGAAAAGGGACTAAGTTGGGCCTCCGGTACCGTACTCACCAGACGAAAGACGTATTTGCTTTCACGCCTGTCTTCAGTGTGGTCGTGGTATTACACCGGGTGAGCCGACAATTTGTTAGTTTTATTATTGTTTATGTTTAATCTAGGGAGTAGTATAAATAAAGGTAGACCTAGAAAGAGATGGATGGATTGCATGAAAGGTGACATGATCAAGGGAGTGATGACTGAGATGACGGATGATAGAGCTATTTGTAGGACGAAAACGCGGTGCGTTACTACGGGAGTTGGATAAGGCAGGGGAGATGATGATGATGATGATGGATTGTGTTAAAGAGTTTATGCTAAAGAAGGGAGTGGATTTAGATATGACGGCTGATAGAAATGTATGGAAGAGCAGCACTGTGCCGACCCTCCGTAGGGACAAGGGCAAGGTGATGATGGAATTTGTATAAATAAGACTGTACTTTTAGATATCAACACGTTTAAAAATATAATTATAGAATTTACTTGAATTCTTGTACCTTTATCTTTGAGATCCACTTCAGCGGTCTCTTCGAAGCCTGGCTCCAAGCTGGTCTCATCGAAAGACTCCTTGCAGTACAGCAATTCTTTGTTCAACCTCTCATCAGAGTTAGTCTTTACCAAGTTTTTTAGTTTCTCTGCTATTTTGTCGATCTCTGTACCACCACGATTGGTGCATTTTAAAAATTCCCTGTGCTTTATTTCTTCTATAATTGGAGCTAACGGTTCCTTTTTTAATCTCTTTTTGACTTCAATTATTTTATTATCGTTTGGTAAGTTTTCCGCATCGATAGTTGTGATTGAAGTTTTAGATTTTCGTTGCGCTCGAGTTCTTTCTGTGAATATTTTTCGTTCACCTTTAGATTCTGTAGATCGTAAATTGTAAGAAAACGACTTGTCAATATCTTTCTTAGCTTGACAATTGTTTTTCTTAGTTTCCGGAGAATTGATTGCTTTTTCGCTTTCAGACGCATAATCGTAATTTTCATTTTCTATGAACGTCTGTAGAAATTGACTCCTTTTTAGCAATTGAAGGTAGAATCGTGTGGAAATAGGAACTTTATCGTGGTATACCGTTTCGTTGCTTTTTAGTAAAGTTTTTTGTTTTTTAGGTACTAATTTCGGTATTCGCCCCTGTTTGAAATCATCTAAAAAGGAGATATATAGTTTAAGAAATGCAGACAAACGATATGCACCCTCCCCTCTGGCGACGCCCATAATGACACATGACTTATGGACCTAATATATTAACTCCGTTTTTGGTACCAAAAAACTACTCTTACTTCAATTATTTCATCATAAAAAACAATAAATATAGCAAAACAATATTTTCCATTTACTAAAACCGTCTATCGTGTTGAGAATGTCTACAATTACTTATAAACTAGCCTACTGAATATGCAACTTACTTTCGATGAAATTATTTCCGTATTCTTCTAAGAAACGGAACTGTATCGGTTTTACCGAGTTTAAGAAACATCTAGGCATTTCTAGAAGCACTAATATCAGTCTAATATTATACAACAATTGGTTAATAATTAACGAAAAGTGCGTTATAAAAGTAATACTGTAGTGCACTTGCTATGACGGGTCAAAAACAAGCGCTCAAATGAGTTTCTGAATAAAGTTTTCGAATTTCAAAACGAATCGGTCGCCAGTAACATAAACAGTCATGTCAATTATTATTAACCTATGAAAAAGTATTTATTATAACCTTAAAAGACATTGGATGCGAAAATAAATTAATAAAAAAATGATAAGAGGTTTTAAATGTACTATTGATATTTTCAAATATTATTTTAATTGTTGTAACAAAATTAAAACAATTTACAATGTACATCAGTTCATATAAAAACTTTTTTAATTTTTCAATAATGTTGTCACATTGACGAAGCTTGCTTTCAGCTAGGGAATTTGTCTAAAAGTATAAATGTCTTTTCCAATGGCTAATAAAAATGAAAACTGAAAAGAATTTTATCAATATAGAATACATTTTAATGAATACAATATAATTTTCCTTAATATTTAGCATTAAATGTATTTTACAGTTTTATTTCATTAGACACTAAATTTAAACTTTCTATTTTTCGGTAAGTAGGTAGGTAATTTTCTGCTTCTTTATTCATAAAAATAGTTTTTAAGAATAAAATGTCAATAAAAGCGATTTATTACAATTATTGTAAAAATATAGTTAACACGTCATACAGATATTATTATATTTTCACTCGAAGAAAAGCTTTCACATGTAGGGAAGCGTGGAAAATAGATAGCGCGGGAGCGAGGCACGCCGTCCACTCCGACAGGGACAGGGGATACGACAGTCAGGGCGCGTCGTGTTACCACATTTATGACATTTCCCTATTTCGTATATAATAAGTTTTAGGTCTCATGTATAGAAACTAACACTTTCTAAACAAAAAAACAATAGTCAGAGTTGATTATTACAAATCAAAGCAATCATTTCAATTATTAACCTAAATGACTGAGGTTATTACACTTAGATCACAACAAATTTGAGAATTTGTTGACTATTTAATAACTGGTCATATGCTTGCTCTTGTTTCTGTATTGATAACAAATAAATAAAGCATTTGTTAAGTTACCACAAAGAGGGAAATAAGATTAAATAGTTCGGGAAAATATGTCATAGTACTGTGGTAACATTATCGCGTGCATCGATTATTCGCCGCCGGGCGCCGTGACAGTATGGACGTGCGTTATAAATTTAGATTTGCCGCTCGAAAATATCGCGACGTTGTGAAATGTTAGTAAGGTGTGCCCAGTTTGGTGTGAGCGCGTGTTTATCAAATAGTTCTGTGTTGTACTCAATTATTTTAGTGATGTGGTAGTTGATACGAGATGGGCAACTCTTGCAGTTCGGGTCAGGCTCATAGGGATAAAGACAATATTTCGCAGCATTCCGAGGAGTAAGTTATACGTTTAATGTAGCGTGAAGGTTTTTTAAAACAATAACATCATACTAATATTATAAAATGCGAAAGTTTAGATGGATGGATATATGTTTGTTAGAGTTTGTAGCCGAAATGGCTGAACGGATTTCGATGAAATTTGGTATAGATGTAGAGGAACACATAAGCTACTTACTGTTGTATATCATATTATGTATAGTATATCATATTTGTAACATAAGTTAGAGATAACAGACGGTGCGAAAATATAAATCAATACAGGAGTACTGCGGGATATCCGGGAATGAACGGGACATACAGTTTATCATTCTGCTCATCTCAGAAAATTCTAGCAAATTGAAAACGCGAAATATACTGGTTATTTAGATAATACCAACATAATAAATCAAAAGTTCTTAATAGACGTTTGAAGTATGAAATTAAATGCAATTTGGAGATGTTTTATTCAAATATTTGCCTAACCATAAACAGGTAAGGTGAATAAAATGTGACTTACTAGCTTTCGCCCGTATCCGTCTGCGTGGAATAAAAAAAAACTGAGTAGCCAATGTGTTCTTCCAGACTATCGTCTACATTTATGGCAAATTTTATCGAGAACCGTTCAGCCGTTTAGGCTACAAACTAACAAACATTAATTCGTTCATCTAAACTTTCGCATTCATAATATTTAACTGTAAGCATTTTCTTAAATCTATTATTAAAAGGCTTACCTGAAATACAAAGTTTTTTGTCTTAATTCTGATGTATGTTCAATTCAAAAGGAAAAGATTTTTATAAAAATATACGACTATGCTGACCATAGCCAATTCAGATCTAAATGCAAAACAAGAGACCATAGAGAATAGCAATACTTTACGTGATTAGGAAAATAAGCGGAATAATAGATTTTTAGATAAACACAGTTGCATATTGAAATGAGAATCTTGTGGGCTCTTTGTACTCCGTTACACCGTTGGTTTTCATTGCCTCTATAGTAAAACATATTTAAAGTTTTTACAGCAGTTTAGCTGTTATCTATACTATTATAATACAGCGTAAACACACACTTCTTTGTTGCCTAAGATGTCAGCAATTACAGCATATTTTTGAAAAATTCTTTTTTAATAATAAGCCCTACACTTACGTCACGCTTTAGGCTATATATTTTCACGCCATTCAGCACGGGGGGTAAATATTTTGGATAAAAACCCTAATGTGGGAAAGAGACCATAAGTTGTTGCCAACATCAAGGAAGCAAGGTTGCCGAGGTTTGTCACGTCATATCATTTTGACATTTGCTATTGATAATCTGTCAAATGTAAACAATAAAATAACATTTTCATAATTCCATGCGGTACATCCGCACGGGAACAGCTAGTACTAAAGTAATTGCAAAGAAAGAAGTGCTTTAATCTTCATTTGTTTTATCTTTCCCTTAAATATTAAGCTAACAATAAGTTCGCAAACTCGACACCGTCTGTAACGATTCGAAACAATTACTTCGGTGCTAAAGAATTTATTCACAACGTCCAATTTCGTTGGCCGATTATAATTGACGTTTATTTGAGAATCCAAAGCTAAATTGGAACACCAATTTAAGCTCGCATTGATGTATAAATTAAACGACTTCTCGGAGGGTTTAAGGTATTTATAATCTTTTAAAATAAATAGGATTAAACCCTTTACTATAAATAAATATGACATGATTGTTTCGAAACATGTTGACAAAAAAAAGTGTTTCCAATAAGATGCACAGAATGAATGAAATGTGCCATCTTACAAAGCACGTTATTTATAAATTTATATGTCAAAACTAAATGAAAATACTAAGGCGACTTCCATGCAGACCCACATAGATACAACAAGTCGTAAGTTTTTCATTAAAACTATTGGACCACATGTTGATAAGTTTTCTTTGAAATTAATGAAATGATACTAGCCCCCTTGACCATCGACCTGCCCCCCCCCCCAATCCAATATCATCATGGAGACGATGTAGCAGTAAAAATGCTAGAAAAAAGAATGTACGGGAACTCAAGATTAAAGCACTTCAGACATTGATGAAAACCTACGTAAGGTTTCGTAAATAAACTATCGAATTTATTATAAACTAACTGTTGCTTACGACTTGTCTCGTGTAAAATTGAAAAAAATACAAAATCTAGCCTGTGTTACTCACTGATAACGTAGCTTTTTAATGGTGAAATAATTTTTAAAATCGACCAATTAGTTTTTGATTTATTTCAATACATACAAAAATACAAATCTTTCCTCTTTATAATATTTATATGGATTAATGTACTTAAAATATTGCTAGTGTACTAGTAATACCATCTTGTGTGATATAGGGCCTGTCCCACTATTGTCTGATAGAGGCTCGGATAGCTTAAAAATGACGTCACGTACAGGTAACAAAATCCGATATTTCCATAACATATTTTACACGTTGGATTGTTAACAGACAATATACAATTTGGTGGGACAGACACTTAATATTGTAATAACATCACTAGTTGAACCGATGAAACCTCACCGTGAGGCCACTTACGACTCGTTACGTCAAAAAACTCTAATAAATACTACACATTCCCCGTCTCTGGCTGCCGGCCAACTTTAACACATAAAATAATACTAGACTGATATTAGACCGGGTGATTCAATTAAATTATTTGTTTGTGACCCGAACCGTTTATTTATAAACGATCTTTTTTTAGGCAATCTGTAGGAATTCTATGGATTAATAGAAATTTCAAAGTTAACGTTGTCGTGTATCCGTGATCCGGCTCGAAGGACTATGACGGTATGTAGAAACTTCAATAAAACATTCTTGTATTGCTTAATATCTTTTTCAAAAGGAATGAAAAAGATGGAAATATGTACAGGTATTTTCACGGTGGAAATCTATACTATCTATACTATTATAATAAAGCGTAAACACAAACTTCTTTGTTGCCTAAGATGTCAGCAATCACAGTATATTTTTGAATAATTATTTTTTTTTAATAAAAAGCCCTAAAAGGCGTAAATACGCCACATCCATAATTTTGGATTATATATATGGATATTTAGTCTACATATTTTTTTATAAATTGTAGTTATGCTAATATACAAAAATTGCCATAATAGCATCTTGGCGTACTCGTTAATTGGCGTGTTGGAGCGTTTACTACGCTCAGCCAAGACAATGGCGTTAAACAAAGTGTGACGGAGATCCCGCGTCACGCGTGCGGTCACCACACGTCAGTTATTTCCAGAACTTTCCATTTTTGTACATCTCTATACTAAAGTAATGTCAGTTATACGTCATCTGATGTTGTTAAGCGAATAAAACAACAACTTGCACATATCTGCAAAGTAACTTAAACATAGGGCAGTGTGGATAACTAAGGCCGTTTTTTGCACACCTAACTTAGATTTAGTTACTTTCCCTCGGTATTGTATCTGAGGTCAACGATATTTAATACGACTTCACCCGCTTGAAATTAAATATTAATAAATATGAAGTCTATGTTATTCAGTGATAACAAAGCTTTTTAATGGTGTAAAGAATTTTTAAAATCAGCCCAGTAGTTTTTGAGTTATTTCAATACATACAAAAATACAAATCTTTTCTCCTTATAATATTAGTATAGATTAAATAAGCTTTCAGGGTCTTAACTGAGTTAGAAAAAAGTCCCGTTGTCCGTCATTTCGTAAGATGTTGGTGACCCTAATAGTAAAGTGGGTCACGAAACGATGACGTCAGCCAATGCACGTATATGTCACTGGTATGTGATATAAAGTATTAAGTTACCGACGCAGTCGAGATACACCCCCGGAGGCATCGGAGAAAATAAGATTTATACGTTCTAAATATACAGTTAGAAGATAAAGTATACAAGAAATTATGCCTAAGAATTGTATAAACCACTAACTTTCGCTCGCGACTCCATCCGCGCGCAATAAAAAAAAACAAATGCAAGCCTATATGTTCTTCCAGGCTATCCTCTACATCTATGTCAAATTTCATTGAAATCCGTTCAGCCGTTTAGACTACAAACACTAACAAACATCCATCCATCTAAACTTTCACATTTGTAATATTAGTATGAAGTATGATTGATTCTCATAGAAAACCTGCCAGGTGTAAAATAAATTCGAATATTCATAAAAAATAATATCAGAATATTTTCTACAACCAATAAAATTTATAAAAAGGTCTGCACGAAATTACAGAAAAAATTCTCTTTATTAGCGCGCGCACCTTTGACTAAACTATCGCAGAACTGTTTAGGGGCAGTACTACCAAATTCTCGTAAATTGCCAGATAATAATCAAACAGATAAAATACGTGACGGAAATATAGGATTTTTTTGTTTCACAATTCAAGATACCGATAAGTAAGAACCTGGTAGTTAGTAAAAGCGGCAACGTCGCAAGGACGCTTAAAAGATCATGTTCGGGCAGTTTTGCAAAAAACTTTATTTTTCATGTTAAGATAAATCTTTTCTATTTTCTGCTAAAAATTTATTTAAAAAGATTGTATACAATATATGCTAAGTATTAAAAAAAATCACTTATTTATTTTAATATTTGGTTAAAAATAAAATATATAAAATGAAATAAGTGGAATGAATTGCGAATCGGAATTTCGTTTCCATGACAACGGTATATTGTTATTTATCACTAAATTTATGCGGAACAAATCAATGGATAGTATTGCAATAGTCTAATCACTTTTACGTAAATTATCTGACATCAATGAAGATGTAATATAGCAGAATGTATAAAATGATTTTTCTGTCCCACCACTGACATCTGTCATTATTAATAACACTGATAATTTACAACAGTACAATATCGGCAACGTCGCAACGAATGCTTATAAGTTCCTATTTATGCAGGTTCGTAAAAGAGACCATGCCCTAAATTACGTGACACCTTAGTTTAGTTTTACTTAAATGTCTATTTTTACGTAATTGAATGCATAACAAGTTTTTATATTAACAAAGGATAATAACACAGCCAATAGTAAAAAT